GACTCTGGCGGGCAAGCCTTGGCAACACCACACCAAGAACTGGGAAACTGAGAGCAAGTCTTGTCAATACTAATATTAAAATAATCCAGGACTTAAAGGCTTGGCCCAACCCTGCCCTGAAGGCCCCAACAAGACCGTGAGCTTCATCATCCCCAGTTCGGATGGAGCGACGCTCGTTGGTTGCGCACTTGGCCGCCAAGCAATGGTTGCGGTGGGTTACAAGAACGTCGCCGTGCCGTTGCTTTCCTACTCGAAGGCAATTAGACTGCACTCAGCAGACTGGGCTGTGGCTCAACAATAAGCCCCGGAAGACATCAACGAACTGTACCAAGCCCAGCTCGCTTCCGTTCATTCAGTTAAGATGGCTGAAGCGATGTTGTTGTATATTTGTTTATGTTGACTTGCGATGGAGGATGAGAGCATTGAACAAACTGAGACTCCATGTTCTACAAGGCATCCGTACAACTCGGTTCCCGCATTGCTTGAGCTGTGCCGAAAAAGGGGTCATCCTAACATGGCTGGAGTTTTGCCAGACACTGAACCATGTTTGTGTCGCAAGGAGGGCTCGACTGGATCAGTGAGCATTGACAACACATAGGGCCAGGTTGCATGTTGTTTCCAGGTTGGGTTTCCCTTTGAACCGCGAGCGTGCATGAGGTGAGTTATGCCATGTTCACCGCTGGGTGCCCCAACGTCACTTGCTCAGCATCACCAGCTGAGGCTGCCCGCGCCTTGCCGGCAGTTTGTTCGCGTGCTGAATGGGTTTGAGTTGAGTGTGTGTGTGTGTGTGTTTTTTGTTTGGGGGGGCAGCGATTGAAAAGGGCTTTTGAGACACACCCAAACAGCCCATCACTTGGTGGATCTTTGCAGGGAATGCCCCCGAATTGAAGCATCCCTTGTGGCTTCGGCGGAGAATCTTTGGTCTTTGTTGCGCGAGGGATCTGTAGTTCATGCCCAAAACCTTTTGGCGATTTGTTTCTAACCAGAAAGTGCTAAATACTCTTGCCCAAAGCTGACCTTCCGACCTTTTGACCTGGTGTTGTCCCCTTGTTGGTCCAGTTTTAGTCATGGCGCCAAAAGGTTAACCTTTACGTCTGGGTCCTTTGATCAACTGAGAATAGCCCACATGTGTTTTTCCTGAAGAAACCGAAAGGGGATTGACAACTGTTTGAATTTCCTGACTCCCGATCCAGCCAGTTCATGAACATGGTGTTGCCAAAAGAATTGCTTGGCGTGTCGCTTCTTGGAGGCGCCCGTTTTGCGCAAAGGGAAACCCAAAGCCCCAAAGCTTTGGGTCCCATATTTGGAACGCCTGGTTATTGCACGCACGGCCGCAATGGATTCCGGAGACCTGGCAGTGGAAGCCACGCTTCAAACACGGCCGCGTTATGAAGGGAGCTGCAGATTTCCATGACCCTCCTGGCAATTTCCGGGGTTCTTGGAGAAAGGGACACGTTCAAAGAAATGCTAGCTTTGAATTTGTTGAGTGGGCCGTAGTTAGCTTGGTTGGAACCCACTGAACGGAGTCTCTGGAACCACGGCTTTTGTGGGTTGCCATCGTTACCCACTTACTTGCCGGAACCAATCATGTTCCTCTTGATTTGGTTCTGATGGTTCCCTATACTGGCAAATCAAACCAGGTTCTGATGGTTCCCTATGCCGGCAAATGAATCCAGGTTTGTAAAGGGTGGTTCCGATGGTTCCCCGGCAAATGAATTTACTGGGTAGGGACCCTAGGAATTTCAATGTGAGGCGCCTGGCGCGCCGGCGTACCGCCCTGCGACCTGGAGAACTGCGGCTCTGCGGTGAGCCGCGCCGGCGGCGCCGGCTCAGCGGGCGCGCTGGCGATGGCGATGGCTTTCGGCGGTTGGGCGGTTCGGCGGCTTGGCCTGAAACAAGGCTTGGGGACTTGTCCCAAATCTGGACGATTACTTGTTGAACTGTTTTGTGTCGCCATGAAACTTGGGATTTGAGCCAGGCGTTGGCGGTGTGTGTACAAGCAGTTTTTTGGAGGAAGTGTGTGAACATGTGCTTCTGCTAAATGTTGGTGGATTCTGGGCCTTTGCTGGCAGTTTTGTCCACCTGATGACACCTTGCCAATGCTTCTTGGCGTTTTAGATCCCAGGTTCTGATCATCTCCACCGTTCCATTGAAGCATCTTTAAGAGACGTGGCGGCTTTGAGGGCTTGCCCCGGCTTTACAGCACGCACCCAGTGCATTCTGAATATTCTTCACAACTTGTCCCGCGGCGCGTAGTTGGGCACCCAAAGCTGACAACCAAAGAGTTGTAACGGTGCAACTTCGTGCCCTGGCCAATGTCAGCCTTGTGCTCACACGCGGCACATGTCTCCGCAAGTGCTTGCCATTTAACTTCCGAGGAAGCGGCAGGTTTAGGCAAGACACGCTACCTGAAAGCCATCTGAGTCCCAACTGAAGTTTACCCTACAAGAGTGTTGTCCGAAGCCATGATAAGCTGAAACCATCGAATGAAAAAAGATGGAATGAAAATGGTCAGGCTGACACTGCGTTTAATGATGATTCTGTTATGATTTTGCACCCTCCAGCCTCTAACGACACACAACATAATTTTTTTTGGAATCACGCCTTCTAAAATACAATACAAAGATTTTTGATGATAAACATATCCAATAATATGGTATATATCATTTTGAAAATACAATATAAATACATAATATAAATATTATATTAATAAGCTTGAATTTGGGGTCGGTTTGAACACTTTAGACAAATTCTCCGCAAATTTCTTTAGAATTTAATGATTTTTCGAAGAAAAAAAATGGGTTTCATTTTTGGAAATTTTCTCATTGTTTTTTGTTTCTCTTACATTTCTTATTTTTGATTATTATTTGGTTAACTCTAAAAAATATATAATTAATATATATTTATTTATAAATGATTATTATTTTTTATATTTAGTTTTTATTATTTTTTTTTGTTTTTTAAATCTATATTTAATAGTTTATTATTGTTATTGCTAATGATTTTGTTAGTGTTTTGTTTATTTATATTTATACGAGTTTTTTAATTTTTATATTATTATATATATATAATATTTTTTTATTTTTATTGTTTTCTTTTTTATATTTTTTATAGTTATTTTGTGATTTTTTATTTTTATATTTTTTTATATGTTTTATATTATTCTATTTTTATTATTTATTTTTGGAATATATAATGTGATTTGTTTTTATATTAATTCTTTTTATTTTGTTTAATATTTTTTTTATTGTTATTTAAATTATTATTAATTTTTTTCTTGATTAAATATATTTCTTGAAAATAAAAGGGTTCTTATTCAGAAATCGGGTCTGGGGGATTAGGATATAAATAGAAATTATTTACATTTATATATCTAAATCTTTATAAATATTTATATGTGTTTGTAAGTATTGCGTTCGTAATTCTATTGGGGAAAGCGAAAAATACATAATTTAAATAATTTGATTATAGTTATGTTATAAATTTAGTATGATTCGGATTTTAGGGATTATCGATATATTATATTTTGTTTGAAATATGTGCGTATGCATTTCCTCGAATATTATTTTCGTTGGTCCTATCTTATAATCGAAGCATTTTTGACGATTTTAGATTTGCAAGAAATCGGTCGAAAACATTCTAGCGTTGTAATTTCGCACTAGTTTTCCGCGCACGATATAAGAATATTAAATTCTGATTTTATTATAAATACAATTTTGCATAATATTTAAAAAACATATAACAAACATAACATATTAGAAATTTATATATATATTTCGTGGTAAGTATAATACGAGTCGATTTCGTTATGGTATGATATGCATTTGGAGATTGTAAAATGAATCCTTTATGGATTTTGTATTAAATTTTGAACGGATTGATGATTTATATTTTGAGATTATAAAGTGAATCTTTTACGCTTTTGGGCGGGTCGAATCGTATTTTGAGATCGTTTAGGATAGGAAATGTAGTAGAATCGTATATAATAAAATATAGAATAAACAAATAGATATATAATAATAATAATTTATATTATAAGAATTGTAATAGGAATCGACAAAAACAATATATATATTTATAAATTCCAATTTGAAATCGAAACCTTAATTGCCAATCCAGATCATTCACCTTTCGTTCGCGATATAATAAAATTACAACGAGAAATATAAATATATATATAATACAAAAAATATATATTCTAAGGAAAAATATAATTAAATTTCCTATAAAAAATATAACGCACAATCTAGGATATTTTTATCGTTTCCCATATATTTACAATTTTTCATAATATACTATTATTGTAAGCCAAAATTCATATTATATAGGATATAATATTAATATATTATTATATAATGTTATTATAAACGAAATAAATAATTTAAAAACCTTTAATTATTATTTTAAATATTATTTTAATATATCTTTTTATATATTATAATAATAATTCAATTAAATATTAATTATAATTCAATTAAATATTAATTATAATTAATTAAATATTATAAAAATCAAATAATAAAAATAAAATATATATATCTATAATAATAAAATATATACAATAAACAAATATAAGTATTATTAATATAAATTATCAAAAAATAGAAAAATTTAAAAAAACCATATATATTTTTATTCTTTATCACCAACCTTCATATAACAATTACTAACATTACAAAAATCCTCCAAATATTATTGTTTTTATTTAATCAAAAGAAATTTAAAAAGGAATTTCAGTATTATGGCAACTAATTAAAAGTTAGTTCTCTAAGACAAATAACAACAAAAAGAATAAGCCCGCGAGAAAACATACGTACGCATATAACAGGAGAAAAGAAAATCGCAAAAAACGTAACGTTATGCGTGAATCGGCAATTTCGCAGATGAGAAAGTCGCAAAAAGCGTGGCCCTATGCGCGAATCGGCGTCTCCGGAGATGCGAAAATTAGCCTGTCCGCGGCGTCTAGTCGGAGCGGGGTCGGAGCAATTTGGGAGTATGTTCGGCATCGGCCCCATTAGTATGGCAACACAGAGGTTTCGCAAAATTAGTACAACAATATAGAAATTTCGCAAAATTTAAATTGCATAGCAAGCGCAGCATTTCAAATTCATAATAAGCACAACACTTTTGCAAAAGTCAAGTAAATAATTCATAACATACACAGTATTTTGGCAAATTTAAATATAAATAAAATAAATAAATAAATAAATTAAACTAAATTAAATTATATAAACCCTCTAAGCGAATATCCATTTATTTTAAAGGTATAACAAAATATCCAGGTTTTTCCAGGAAATACCGGGTTTTTATTTTTTGCGTTGTAATCAAAATGGTCTTACATGAGTTATAATTGTAGTTCCCTCAATATAATCCTTTTGTTAGCTCTCTTACATCCATTTAAACGCTCCACGGCCGCCTAGCAATCCCATCCAAGCAAGCTCATTGAGCATAGTACCTGTTGCAAATCATCTGTTAAACTCGAAACAATGGTCAATCCGCAATTTGTTAGGAAGGCTTCCCAGATCGTGGCTCGGAAAGTTTAAAACAGCGTTGGAATATAAACTTTCTGACAAGGGCAATAAATAGTTCCAGATTACCGCAAACAGTAGCTGCACGTGTATACATATTGTATATGGCACTGAGCAATCTGCTTGGGACTGTTTGCGTAAAGCTCGCGTCGGATACGTCTGGAGGGCCGTCTTGCAAATGCTTACTTGTTTGACAACCAAGTCCCGTGCTAAAGCATTGATGCCGGAGCTTCTCGCAGGCTTGTCTAAACGTCGTAGGAACATCATTTTCGGAGCGAGCCAAAAGAACATAATCCACTTTGAACACTAGACAGCAGGTAGTAAAAGACGCCTGGGACGAACACATGAATGACTGTTTTTCGCAGGGTCACTTTGCAAGCTTATTTCGGGCAACTCGGGGCTGGAAAGCTGTTTGAGCAGAGGCTGAACATCCCATAAATCGCGTACGGATTTGTACGGTATTTTTATGGGATTTGTACGGTTTTTGTATGGATTAGGAAAAACCGGGTTTTCGGAAAAATATGGATTTGTATGGGATTTTTATGGGATTCATATGGGATTTTTATGGGTTTCCTTTTTTCGCACGCGCTCGCCCTTCCAGCAAAGAAAAGCCGGCACACAGCTAATCGCGCGAGCAGCGAACTGGTTTTGTATGACATTGCTGTAGAACGTCCGAAGGTTTTCGGGCACAAACACGTATTACGCAACATATGCTTGGACTATGCTTCCCATCGAATCGAAATTATGAGAAATCTCTGGGTGCTGGAAGAAAGTGCGACTTAGGCGGAGGCCAGCTTTGTTGGCATTTGGCTTGTACGCCGAGCCGAGTAACAAATACAAGTGCCACTTTGGGATATTGTATTATGTTTTGAAAAATATAAAAGAAGTACCATGCTTGAGCATGATGTGTCAATCATGTAGAGCTACTGATGGTCATGTAGTGAACTGCATACTTGTACATTAAAGCTAGTTGTCCCGCTTCATTCTTGAGTTTTGGCTGACCACGTCCTCGTGTCTTTGCTCTATTCTTCAATCATCCGACATTTCGTTTGCGAAAAATACAAAAATAAAGGATGTAAGTGAAATACCAAGTGTTTTCTAGAAACCCTTTATTTTTCCAAAATTTGCCCAAAAACCAGATTTCCCCATTTAACCCTTTAAAATTAAAAGATTTTCGCTTAGAGGGAATATAAATAAATAAACAAATTAAATAAAAAATAGATAGAAAATAAATAAATAAGTAAATAAATAAAAAAATAAAAAAATATAAATAAATAAATATATAAAACATAAATATAGAAAAAGAAAAAGAGAAATAAATAAATAAGTAAGTAAAAAAAAATAATTAAGTAAATAAAACGATAAATAAATAGATAAAAGAAAAAAAGACAAAGAGAAATAAAAAACAACAAAATAAAAAAATAGAATAATAAATAAATAAATAAATAAATAAATAAATAAATAAATAAAACAAACAAAATAAATAAATAAAGAAATAAAGAAATAAATAAGTAAATAAATAGATAAATAAATAAAACAAACAAAATAAATAAATAAAGAAATAAAGAGATAAATAAGTAAATAAATAGATAAATAAATAAATAAATAAAACATAAATAAATAAATAAAGAAGTAAAAAAATAAATAAATAAATAGACAAATAAATAAATAGATAAAGAGATAAAAAAAAATACACAAGACAAAGATTAATAGATAAATATGTAAAAAGAGAAATAAAAAGATAAATAAATAAATAGATAAAAAAAAAAAGAAAAATAAATAAATAGATAGTTAAATAAATAGAGAGATAGATAAATAGATAGATAAAGAAAGAGATAGATAAATAGAGAAATACATAGAGAGATAAATAAATACATGAGAGATAGATGGAGAGAGGGAGAGAGAGATGGATAGATAGATAGGTAGAAAGAGAGATAGAGAGATAAAGAGATAAAAAGATAGGTAGATACAC